AATCTGGTTCCGCCTCTCTCTGAACCCTCTCAGTACCTTACTGGAGGGTTCCGGGAGGGGATTTTAACTTCGGAAAGGAGGTACAAAAGTGACCCACCTTTTCTATATGGATGATCTCAAGTTATTCGCCTCCAGTCGCTCCCATATTGTGGAATTGCTAAACATCACTTGTGATTTTAGCAATTCTATTGGAATGGAGTTAGGGACGGATAAATGTGCGATCCTCCATGTCGAAAGGGGAAGGGTTGCTAACTCTGAGGGCATGGACTTATCTATGCCAATCAGCATAAGAACCCTTTCCGAGGCTGAAAGATATCGATACCTGGGTATGTCACAGAATATCGGTATCGATGAGGCGGGTATGAGGCAGTCAGTTTGCGATGTTTTTTATGCACGCTTGACAAAAATGCTTAACAGTCTTTTGTCGGGCGTTAATAAGACACACGCTTATAACGGTTGGATCATGCCTGTTCTCATGTATACCTTTGGCATACTCAGGTGGACTCAGACCGAACTGAACGCTCTGGACAGAAAAGTCCGCACTATAATGACGTCCCACAGAATGCATCATCCGAGATCGTCGGTAATGAGGCTGTACTTGCCGCGGAAGCATGGTGGGCGCGGCTTTATAAGCGCGCTTACCCTGCATAATCGCGAAGTGTGCAGCCTCCGTAATTATTTTCTGGCGAGAGTGGATGATCCATTCTATAGGGACGTTATTTTTTGTGATAAAGGACTTACCCCTCTATCCTTGGCCAACGAGCAATGGCAAGACCCGGCAGTACAGAGCATTTCCGACCGGGAGACCGTATGGAAGGAGAAGGAACTCCACGGGAGGTTCTACAAGGCTCTACATGAGCCTTTCGTAGATACAGTTGCCTCCCTCCACTGGCTACGTTTTGGTAACCTCTTCGGGGAAACCGAGGGTTTTGTCTGTGCAATACAGGATCAGGTTATTAAGATCAACAACTATCGGAGATACATCCTAAGGGATGGCACCGTCGACATTTGTCGAGCTTGTCGCCATCCCGGTGAATCGCTTAGGCATGTCATCTCCGGTTGTTCGGCGCTTTCTAACTGAGTACTTGCATAGGCACAACCTAGTAGCCAGGATTCTACACCAGGAGCTCGCTCTGAAATACGGTCTCGTGGATCGGAAACTGCCTTATTATAAGTACATGCCGGAAGCCGTGCTCGAAAATGATTGCGCAAGGCTCTACTGGGACCGGGCCATCATCACAGATAGGACCATTCTTGCGAATAAGCCTGATATTGTGCTGATGGACCGGGCACAGTCAAGGATATTTTTGGTCGACATTACCATTCCGTATGACGAGAACCTCGTGAAAGCCGAAACAGATAAGCGAACAAAATATCTGGACCTGGCTCACGAGGTGACCGACATGTGGGGTGGACTGCCGGCCGAAATTATACCTGTAGTCGTTTCTGCGAACGGGTTAATCCCAGTCAGCCTCTCGGGTCATCTGAGGCCACTGGGACTCCGTGACGGACCGCTCCAAGCTCAAATGCAGAAGGCGGTGCTCCTCGATACCGCCCGCATCGTCCGCCGGTTTCTTTCCCTTTCCCCCTAACCCCCGGCCGTTTGGTCTCCCCTGCCGAGGGCTTCCATCTGGTTGGGTTTTTATATATTTATGCAATTTTTATGTATTTATTTTATTTTATTGATATTTATGTAAGTTTATCATTTTCATTTTCAATTATATATTTATACAGCCCAACCAGATGAGAAAACTATACAAATACCCCATAATAATAATAATATAAAACTTAGTACTACTACTTAGTACTACTTTATAGATTGTTCAAATAATAATATAATTTATTTAGTTCCAACAAACAACAATTTAACATAACAAAATAAATTAATGGAATGGAACTAAAATGGTGTCTACTCAACACAAATATTATAGAAACCACATAGTGGTAACTATAACGCTGATTTTCAGTAAACGCCAGAGACATAGGTGCGATGAAATAAACTTAGCTAATCACAGGCTCCAACATAAAATAAAAATGCAGTCTAATAAAATGTATAAATAATATAAAAAACTGTTAACATTTAGGAAAAAAGGCACAACAAAAAGCGTAACAATAAGCATGGTGGTATATTATTCCAACACTCTGTGTTAGCATACCGAAAGCTACCACGAAACGCAGCCGTTCTGTGTCTTGGGTACAACAAGCGAACAGTTTCCCGTGAGAAACGTTGCGAGAATCTGAGTTTCTCATATAAGTATTTCGGTTGTTGATTTTGTAATATTTTATAAAGTAAACAACTGTAGTGAACTGATCTACGAGCTTTCATATTAACCCTGATTTAAAAACGGTGTCACGTGACCTCTTCGAGGGATTCGAAATCAGAACCTAGCGCATGCATTTTCTACTCGTTTTATAACAAGTTTGGTTCACGCAAGCAAACACTCCCATGACAATATCAGCATAATTTAGCTTCGAGAGTATTAGTGACTCACAAAGTTGAACTCTCAATTCTTCACTTAAGTATTGCCGAATATTATATAATATATTTAATATGTAAAAACAATTTTTTACTGTATGGGTAACATGATTTTCAAACCTTAGTCTACTATTCATAATTATGCCGAAGTTGCGAACATCAGATACCTGTTCAATATGGTCGCCACCAACAACAATTTTAGACTTATGAGCATTCGTTCATTCTATTAACTTCTTTGATCCAAAAGTTGGTTTTATTTGAATTTAAGGTGAGTTCACTATTATTCGCCTCATTTTTATCACCAGGCCTAAATGATATGTTTACTTGAATCATCAGCATATAAATGATACTGGCAATATTTAAAACAGCCCGTAATATCAGCATTGTAGAGAATAAACAGTAAAGTACCTAGAATTGACCCTTGTGGAACGCCATGATTAACTGGAAATGCAGCAGAAATGTTGTTACCAGTTTCATTTCGAAATCTGACTCGCTGTTTACGACCCTTTAAATAACTTTTAAGCCAATTTAATGCGTTACAGTCAGAACCATAATATATCTACTTCGACAGAAGTAAAGTAGTATTTATTATGTCAAATGCACGCGAAAAGTCCAGTAGTGTTAAAATTGTAGTCTGCCCTTTATCCTGTGCTGTTAGAATATCATCGACAACACTCAATAGCGCTGTAACTGTGCTTAGTTCAGCCCTGAAACCCGACTGTTTTAGAAGTAAAATGTTGTTCTGGTTAAGATATTCTATTAATTGCATATAAACAGCCTTTTCAGCGATTTTAGATAAAAAGACAGTACTTATAGGTCGAAGATGATTTAGTTCTACAGAATGATTATTTTTTGATATTGGATTTATTACAGCTTCCTTCCAGATTTCTGGGAAAACCCCTGTCTGTATCGGCATATTAATAATGGTGGTTATAGCACTCACAGTCCGTGGCAATGTTAAGGTTATAACAGTAACCTAGGTCTTTATGAGCCCTTTCCAATGAGTTCAAACACGATCGTTCCATACAGTGCCGCCAATGAGATCCTATACCCACCTTTGGATTGCACCATCAGAAAGGTGATATCATCACACTCACCTAGATTATTATTCCTATTATCTATTAACCTTTTTGAAAATGAGTCCAAACACGATGGTTCTTTACTTCACGTAGCATTACTGAGATCCTTTAATCACCTTCTGAGTCCACCATAAAGAAAGTGATATCATCCTTGTCCCCTTAGTTACCATCCTTCGTCAAACGAACTTCCCTAAATATATAAAATATAAACAGCATAGAAATAATGTCAGTAGCTACTAAGAAAGTAAGTACTTACCAATAATTAAAACGAACTGAAGTCAGCAGATACCGGTGCGCCCGGAAAAACCAGTGGGTTGCCGTCATTTAAAAATTACAACTTAAGACTTCACCCGTTCAACCGAGCAGTGTAACTGACAGAACGTCCGAAAAAATCCGTGGGCTGCCATCAGTTAAAAATTACAACTTAATTTTTGACACTCACGGTCGGTTTTTGGATGTACGTCAGTTAAACTGATCGGTTTAAGTCAAGTCAAAATATTTTTATTCAAAATTGGACTTTACAAACACTCAATAAAAACTACGCCATCACTTTAACAGGTGTCTTTCACAAATGTTTCGGTATAAAGTGTTTAATTTTAAGTAAAAAGATTAAGTGTTCTCTGGCATCCGATATAAACGACTTGTTCCTTTTTCTGGCTTTGTATTCATAAATAAGGGCTTGGACAAGGCGGCGGAGTCGATGATAAACGACGTGAAACTGGCGCCTGAGCATCGGCCGCTAACCGCGAAAAATTCATGTCATTCTACATGTCAAGCGCCACTGTAATTCTCTTTGTGGCCTGACTCTTATTACACAGGATATAAAGTGGAATAACTGATCAGTTTAACTGTAGTACGTCAGTTAAACTCATCAGTTTAACTGACCGTATGTGGCGACCATTACACCCGACGTCATGAAGGGGAGGAAATGTTTGATGTCCTGATGGTATAATTCACGAAGGCTACGCCCAACTTTTAAATATCAGTTTTAGTTCGATCTACGGGGTTTCAATATCATGCAGTCTTTCAGTAGTATGCGTTGGTTTGAGTGTAATTTTGAACATTATGGTATCATAAACATCCTGTGCAGCCATCTTCCAAATTGAAATCAGGATGTTTTTGGATTTCATAAACGGGAGTCATCCTAGATATGAATCGGAGTAGAATATGAATAGATTTTTTTCTGCTAATGCTAATGTATATAAGACCACTTCTGAAGCATAACCTAGCCCATCTATTTTATTAAAAAATCCTTTGAATCTATTCATTCGTTCGTGAGATTTCGGCGAACATACATAAAAAATATTGATATCAAATATAGAACTTCCTCGTTTTTCGAACTCGTTTAAAAATCATAAGCCTTGATAATGCACGTAAAACATCGCATTTATGCCGTGTATTAAAGAGTATTGATTTCTTGGTAATGTCACCTCGATATTTTACAGGCTCCAGAATGGCACCGAATGACTGTACCAAAGAACTTGCCTGATCAAGATCTGAGGATCAAAATTGCATGCCGGATGGACAAGCCCCTTAACATGAAACACTGCGGGTAATATTCGCTTAAGCTTTGACAACAATTATCTCCTTGGATCAACTCAAGGCTAAAAAATAAGTATCACTATCACTAGCGCAGAGTTAACTTCTGGAGTACAAGACCGATTTAAGAACGGAGGATTTCTCATCGTCCAGTATAGGTCACGTATATGCATTCCTTCTTAGACCTCAGGTGTGACAACGCATCTGAAGATAAATTATCAATCGACGGCGGACATAGATGTCTATCGTGAACACCTATATCTGTTGTAACACACAGTCCTCTCACAGAATAGCAACTTAATGCTGCTGTGTTTCATATGGTGCGTGTAGAGTACCGGAGGCCCTTTTTAATTATAAACGAACTATTTCATCTTAGTCCTCCGGGGTGACACCACATCTGCATTTTGATTCTCCTCAACAAGGATTTATGTAGATGTCTATGGACCACAGCATCCACGTACCATCAGGTAAACTGTATTCTCGCTTGTATCCCTTTCTTCTGTAAATAAATTAGTAACGGTTTGTTATCGTTACTGAACTGATTATTTTCAGTCTGGCATATGAAAGATGTGTTATAAGCTAGATATAACTTGCCACTGTTGGATAAAGTCCTACTTTCATTTATAACACGACACGTCACAAAGCACACAGTTGGTTCGTGAATGATGTGGCCCTTAAAGACTTACATCGATCCTAAATTAAGAAACAAAGTTGAGATTTATCTATCTAAACCTAAACCAGAATTACTCATCAGCACAAAATTGTCTCCGATTCTATACACTCGTCATAGGGGAAACACAGCAGCATTTAGCTGTTACTTTACGCTGGTATTCTATAGTCCTTCCCCGTTTTCCTGATTCGTACTGCAACCATAATAACTACATCGTGGCTCTACCAAGTTAAAAACTGTTCCTTATGATATGAAGGTAAATGTATGATAATACACGAGCAACTCGGATTCGATCTCCACAGGCAACAATGAAGCTTTTAGTTACGAAATATTTAAGTGCATACAGTTAAGTCATCCACGTACTCGGCGCTAAAAATACATAGTTAATAAATCCGAAACAATACGTTTCGGGGACTAGTGAAGTCAGCCAACACTGCAAAACCTCTGAGAAATGGAAAGAGGCAGTGGGATGTATGAAGGCTATTCGTTTAACTTTTCTTGTTATCTACCCCTTTCCAGATATCTCCATGTAATCGGCAAGAATGTTTGGCGCAAGTGGAAGCGACGCTACATGGTGCTAGTCCAAGTGAGCCAGTACACGTTCGCGCTGTGCTCGTACAAGGACAAGAAGTCCGAACCGGCCGAGATGATGCAGCTGGACGGTTTCACTGTGGATTACATAGAGCTGGCTAGCGGTAAGGATACAGTGCGATACCCGAAAAGGTGGTTAATTTATAAGACACGTCATATTATAAATTTTAACATCAAACGTATGACACTTAACTTACAATATTTTGAATTTAAATTTGGATTTTTTTTTGTGATTGAGATTTTATTTCTTTATTTAAAACTGATGTGACAAACTAACTTGTACCTGGTGGCAAGTACCTACACAGTCCATAGGCACATGCAGCCAACTTCAAGCAAGGAAGGCTACAGTTACGTTGTCACCTCTGCGTACTAAAATGGAATTCCTCACAGCCTACAATTTTTTTTTATAGAATAATGGTGACAAACAAGCACACAGTCCACCTGATGGTAAGTGGTTGCTGTGGCCCATAGACATCTACATCTATCTTCGTTTGCGAATTAAAATGCAGATGCGTTGTCAGCCGGGAAGACTAAGATAGAATGCCTCTTTTCCAGTAAAGAGGATCTCCGGTTCTCTACACTCACCATAAGAAACACAGCAGCATTAAGCTGCTATTTTACGCTGATATTCTGTGAGAGCGTTGTCCTCCCGCAGTCGAGCCGACCCAATCGTGCTACAACTATACTATTAATATAGCTGCAGCATGGCTCTACCACGTATAAAATTATTCTCTCCCTCTATACCTTTTGGACCAGAACATAGTCCAGCGTGGCAATTATAGCAAATACACACTTGTGAGATAGTCTAAGGGCAGGCCTATATTTTGATTTTAATAGACTGTAATGGATAGCAGACGTACTAGCGATTATATATGTATATGCTCGGGTATAAGCCAAAAGAACTAAAAGAAGCGTTTATGCGTTGTCACCCTGGATCAAGGGTCACCAATTGGCGTACCGCGGGCCGGATCCGTACCGCCGAGCTATTTTGTGCTTACCAAGAAGAATCTAATAATATAATAATTCAATTTTCTTCTGTTTTAAAATACGCACCCATTCATGCTTCAACCAAAATACAGCTGCAGGTCAACTCTACCCTTTTATGAGATAAATAAAATTATGTTATTATTAATATCTATATTTTTATTACAGCTCAACTGATGGTCGGTCAAGGTAAGATTTTATTATGCTATTAATAATATTTTTTATCTTTTCTCTTTATTATATATATTATACGTGAAAGTACAGACTATTTTGGATTTGAATTGTCTACTTTTCATTATACTTTTTACGCCATCGATTTTCCTTTAATTACTGTTGTAACAAATTTCAACTACTGGCCTTATTTACTTTATACTTTGAATTTATTAATACTGACGCGTTGCCAGTTATCAAAATGATTGTTGCCTTAATGCCATATAAAATTCAGCGGTGTTATGCTGGTACTATAATAATTACTGTATTTTTATTATGATTACCATCACCAGAATTGGAAGGGGCGAAGTATTTCATGAACGCGGTGCGTGACGGCGAGTCAGTTCTGATGGGAGTCGGCGATGAGAATGAGTGTCATCTGTGGGTCATGGCTCTGTACCGGGCAACGGGTCAGAGTCACAAGCCGACTCCGCCGACAACTTCCGACACGCATATCAAGATCATGGGAGGTATGTGCGGGATCGGTTTTTTCTTATTTTTTAATATAATATTGGTTCCTCAGTCATTACTTTTGTTTGGTCTTTCTTTATCACACGTTCATATATTTTTTTTTATATTTTATAACCTGATCTGGTTGGCCCATAGACTTGGAAGTCTTCTGAAAGAAAGGGCTTTGTATGTGTTATTGTAGGATATTTCTCCTGTGTCGTGGAGGAGTCTTACATACATAAATTGCACATGGAAAACATCCAGACACAGAATATTTGCAGGCCATACAAACAATTTTTCTATGTGGGATTCGAAGACGTGGTTTTTCATTCGAGGATTTTAGGACAATGAAGATTTCGGCTAGAAGAAGACGAACTAGTAAAATCTGCGACGATATGGGTTAGTAGGAAATATTCTGACACCGCCACTACCCTGTTACAATATTTCAAATCCAATTGAAAGTACTGTGTTCATTGAGTTATATGTACTACGTACTAGAGAAGCCATTCCAAACAAAAATTGTGTCCTACTCTATATCTTCCCGCATGCGCGGGAGTAGTAGTCACGCATGCGCGAAGACTTTAATTTGATATAAAATTACATATTAATATAAAATAAATATAAGAATTTAATATAAAATATCTTAATATAATCTAAACAAACATATTTCTAAATAAAATGTAATAAAATTATCTTATGGAATTCACAATTCTTCAATTTACGCAATATTTAGTTTGTATGAATTGCACTACTGTTCAGTTGAACATAGTCAATGTTCGGAATGGCTTCTCTAGTACGTAGTACATATAACTCAATGACTGTGTTAGTTTAAATTCACATTTTATCGTTGTTTGTTGTTAATGTAATATGTCATTACTGTTTTGTCTTTGATATTTATTATTTTTATAACTTTGATACTTATTGTAACTGAAATTTGTACTTAGTTTCGAAAATCTGTTGATTCATTGATATTCATTTGTTCTAATATCTAGTAACGACACAGTCGAGAAATTGAGATTTGACCACAAACCAGTTTTGACCCCACTTGAAAAAATCTATGTATACAAAAAGCTCGATATTTGAGTACCACACGAGCTCACTGAAAGAAACCTGCACCTGCACACCTGAATCGTGCACTCATTTGTGATTTTCTATTGAAACATAATGAAACCGAACCATTTTTGAAAAGATTGATCACTGGTGATAAAAAGTGGATTACCTACGGTAAGAACGTGCGAAAAAGATCATATTCAAAAAGGTAGTCAAGCTCCACAGACTAGCGAAACCCGGACTAACACGCGGTTGATAATAGATGATACTGTGTGTATGTTGGGATTGGAAGCGCGTCGTTTATTATGAGCTTTTACCGCCGGACAAATGAATTCCGATCTCTACTGCCAACAACTAATGAGACTCAAGCCAGAAATTGAGAAAAAACGGGCGGACTTGATCAACAGAAAAAGAATATCCTTTCATCATGATAACGCCAGACCACACACATCTTTGCCCATTTGGCCATTGGCATTGAGTTATATGTACTACGTACTAGAGAAGCTATTCGAAACAAAAATTGTGCGCTACTCTATGTCTTCGCGCATGCGCGGGAGACAGTAGAGTCGCACATGCGCGAAGACTTTAATTTAATATAAAATAAGATATTAATATAAAATAAATATAAGAATTTAATATAAAATACTCTTATTTTAATCTAAACAAACATATTTCTAAATAAAATGTAATTATTATTATTTTATAGAATTCACAAATCTGCAACTTACCCAATATTTAGTTTAGTGTACGGATAGCAGTACAGATCAGTTGAACATAGACAATGTTCGGAATGCGAAATCTAGTGCGTAGACAATATATATCAATGTCCATTGGTATTAGAAAAGGTGAGATATCCCGCCGCGTCGGTGTCGGGTTGTTGTAATATACAGACTGTGAGACATTCCATCTTAGTCCTCAGAGGTGACGACGGGTCCATCCCATCTACTTTTCTGCCTAGGACTTCGTCAGGGTAGGTAAAAGGTCACCTATTTCTGCCGCCAAATAGTACTGCTTGCACTACTGTATTTTTTCTGAAGGTTATAGAGATCCAGTGTAATTACAGATTGAGAGTGCTGAAGAGGTGACAACTCATGTGTGGCCTTCTTTGCTTGAAGTTGACTGCAGTTGTCCATGGACTACGGTAGCTACTTACCATCAAATGGGCTGTGACTTCGTTTGTCACTACAGTCTTATAAAAAAAAACTCTACTTTTGTTCAGATGCGGACAAGGCTCGTAAGCATGGCATGGAAGACTACATTCAGGCAGACCCGTGCCAATTCGATCATCACCAATTGTTCTGCATACTGCAGTCCCTAACGCTGAAGTACCGTCTGCAGGACCCTTACTGTTCCTTGGTAAGGACCTTACCGATTCAACAAATTTTAATTTAATTATATGTTGCAATAGTGCAAATTCCTTGGGCAGCGTTCGGAAGATGACAGCACATTTTCTCATCACGTATATATCAACCAATGAGAAGGAAAGGTTCTCTAGTGGCAGTTTCATAAAAGAAAGCGAAATGAACGGCTGGCTCCACATACCACAGCCACATATTAATATTGTGTCGTAAAACAAACGTTGCAAGGCTTGGACTGATTAGCTTTAGTCCATCCAATAGTAAGTGGATGTCGCGGCTCATAAACACCTATTATCTATTAAAAAAATAAAACCACGCTATTTTACATTTAGGGCTGGTTCTCACCGGGGCAAGTGTTCGTACTGGACGAGTACTGCGCTCGATACGGGGTTCGTGGCTGTTACCGACACTTGTGTTACCTCTCCGATCTTCTGGATGTAGCAGAAAGTGGCCAACAGACCGTAGACCCAACGCTTATGCATTACTCCTTCGCCTTCTGCGCCAGTCATGTCCATGGAAACAGGTGAGTGTGACCGGTTATTTTACTATAGTCTTGTTAGAGTGTAACACAACTGATAATTTATTCTGGAAAATGTGCTTAGTGTATGTTATCTAAATTCTATCTTTATCGGTTCGTTTTAGCTACGTTGACTTTTTAAAATGCTAATATAAATTTATAAAAATGAACTAAATCAACGACAAGACTTGATATGCTTCGGGCTCATATCTTTCCATCGGTGTTATCGCAGAGGCCTTGTGGAGCCTCAAAGCCCAACGGAACATACTTTAAGTATTGATGGTATAACCTATCTGCCCTCGTTAAAAAGTCATATGTTATGCTGTTTTCCAAATTCTTACTTCTTTTTATACCTTTTTAATTACTTTTAAGAAACAACAACTGATGGGAAAGAAAGGTTCTCAAGTTTCAGCCTCGTACCGGTAGGCGAAATATAGTGCGTCCCTTCACTAGATGGAGTGACGACCTGGTAAGACATGCAGGCAGTCGATGGATGCAGGTGGCTCAGGACCGTGCTTTGTGGCATTTCTTATTGAAGACTTATGTTGTGAAGGGTTGTAATGAATGAATGAAAAAAAACTATTTTGTCTGGTCCTAAACAAGTATACTTTTTAACTCTTCATAAGTTCCCCTAAAAGACAATATTACGGTCATTGATATGACTTTATACGGGTGAAATAGCATATACTTATCCGACAAGACCCTTTCATAGTACAAGAGCAATCCTCTTGATTACAAGCAACAATGAAATTATATATTGCAAGATTTCTTCGAAATACAAATAAATTTTATATATTATAAACTAATTGTATATTCAAGTTGTACTTCTAGTCTGACAAGGTTGACGTCACATTAGAAGTACAGCCCAATTTCATCCAGGATGAAAATTTTCAGAATATGATATAGTGGCATAAACATAAACCGCGTGCAGAAGGTTTGCCAACTTACACCGACCGCGTCTCACCTGCTACACGCCTGTCCTTGTCTATATGTCTACTCAGTACCGCTAGCAACACCACAATCAAATAGTGTTAATAAATTTTTTTATAGGATAAGGGTGATAAGGGTGAATGAGCACACAGTCCACCTGATGGTAAGTGGTTGCTGCGGCCCATAGACATCTACATCTATCCTCATATAAGAATCAAAATGCAGATGCGTTGTCACCCGTGAGGGCTAAGATGGAATGCCTTGTTTCCAGTAAAATGGGTCTCCGGTTCTCTACACTCACTAAACGAAACACAGCAGCGTTAAGCTGTTATTTTACGCTGGTATTCTGTGCGAGCGTGGTCCTTCCCCGGTCGAGCCGACCCATTGGTGCTACAACTATACAAGTAATATAGCTTTAGCATGGCTCTACCACGTAAAGTATGTACGTAAGTTGGCCGCAATGAAGCCTTTTGAATGAGTTGAAATATTAGACAGATTTCATAGCGGGGGGAGTTAATTCGTTCAAAATTAATATTCCTATCTGAAATATTAGTTATAAATAACAGCTTACTGTGTGTGTGTGTGTGTGTGTGTGTGTGTGTGTGTGTGTGTGTGTGTGTGTGTGTGTGTGTGTGTGTGTGTGTGTGTATGTGTGTGTGTGTTACTGTATATGGTGGGTGTAGAGAACCGGAGACCCTTTTTACTGGAAAAGAGGCATTCCATCTTAGTCCTCACGGCTGACAACGAATCTGCATTTTGATTCGCAAACGAGGGTATATGTAGATGTATATGGGCCTCAGCAACCACTTACCACCAGGTGGACTGTGTGCTCGTTTGTCACCCTATTTCTATTTCTAAAAAAAAATTGCTGTGTGATCATCGGCGTGATAAATATGTTCATCTTAGTCCCCACTAGCGACATCTTGTGAGCGTAAGATTATTAGGTTTTTTTATCTACATTTCAATATTCTAAGTATTGTCTATGGCCGTTACAACGCATGACGTTATGAAGCTTTCGGCAAACCTCCTGCGTGCAGGTAATAATAATATAAAAAATATACTACGAAATAAATAAAGTAGAATAAAATATATACAGATAATTAATAATTATTATTATTTCTACTCTGAAAACGTTGGAAATATTTGAAAATGTATTTATATAAAATATAATTGAACTACACGTTATAAAATACGCAAAATTTGATTTCATTAATTACCTAAAAATTATTTTATTCTATTATATACCTACACATCTTTAATTACTAATGTTGTCATCACATCCCTAGAATGCCTCACGATATCTAAATGTGGCTTAATGTGTTTTAGATTGTCCCCTTCTAACTCAATGTCTTTTAAAACTCATGTAACTGACTGTACCTACTTCACACTCGTGTCTGTGTACATGTGTATGCTTAGCAAACTAACTTATAATCTGTTCTTCGTACTAACATTTTCTGTCTACGGTTCTGTGGGGTTGGCTGTACAACACAAATGTCGGTTAGACTTGATAATGGAAAAATGCCTCTAGTGGAAAATAAAAAAGTGATATTATCCAATTAAAATAATTAAAATCAACTAATCAAAGCATTTCTTTCGCTAAGGTATCCTGGGCCAGAAATAAATATTCGTATTAAACATCTTAAATAAATGAATACAAATAGGTATGAATATAACATGACATTTAATAAATAATTTAGTTTTATTTATAATATTTATATATATCCCAGAATATATATACGACGAACGTCTTTGAATTAACTAATTGTCAATAAAATAATATTTAAAATATTAAAAAAGAAAACAATTGGCAAACGGCATTTGTTGAGAGTCATACAGTTTTGAAGGAGATATATCCCACTATACGGCTACACGGAGCTGAAGATAGGGAAATTTGGAATAGGACCACGGAACCCAAAGGCTCAACGGCTAAACGACTGCATGGAGAAGGAGGGACTCTTTATAATAAGCTATTTATTCCAGAAGTGAATCCACAGAAGGTGGACCTGGAGCCAAGAAGATTACGTATAGTGGACGATATAAATGATAAGCGCGTGGAAACGGTCCATACGGTCGTAGCTAAGTTATAAAAGATTTTGCAGAAGAACCCAAAAATTTTACGATTACCCTTTCATGTTCATGGCTATTAGATGAAAAATGTAGCTGCAGTCTTCGATAGATTTGCGAGCATACAGCCAAATGAATTTACAGATCTCCAAACGCAAGCTGCGAAACTTTCTCAATTTCAATACAGCTTGTATTGCAGAATCAATTGAGTGGTTCTATGGCTATGGCAAAGTATTTGCCAGAAGTCTATGCGCTGGATAGTTGTCGAAGTTGAAGACAGAATGTGGTAGCATCGTTTCTGGGACACCTAGTTCTAAGTGAGATTAGGGGTGATACTAACAGTTGTACACATCGGTGGAGCCACACGCAATTGAGAGTAACGATTTAATGGTAAATCTAATCGGAAGTTATTCTGATGATATCCCGGAAGCCAGTTTGAGCGAGATTAGAAACTATAATAAAAAAAAAACTAAAACTAGTAACTTAATTATTATACAGTCCTACTCCCCGTGGTATCGTGCCAAGAACGCTGCGTTTCCCCGCTGAATGGCTATACATAGCCTTTGAGCGAGACTTTAGCTTTGACTAGAATGACTCTCTAACACCTTAAAATTGGCAAAGCTCACCCGGGGGAGAATGGAACTACAGTAGAGCTTCTGAAAGCAGCTGGGAAACCGGTGATTAAAGTGCTTCAGAAGCTCTTCGATTCCATCCTCCATGGTGGAACTACTCCGGGGGCGTGAAGAAGCAGTGGTCTTGTTTTTCAATAAGCAATAGTACACTTTTTTGAAGAACTAAGACCGATTTCTCTAATGAGACGCGTCTAAGTGCTGTTTTCGAAAGTCATTGCGAATCGTCTCTCACGTAAACTTAATGGTTTTGAGCAGACAGACAAAGCCAGTTTCTGGAAAGGATTTAGTACCACAGACCACATACGAACTCTTCGGCAAATTGTACGGAAGACCGCAGAATATAATTTGCTATTTTGTCTCGCATATTGGGACGGTGCACAGTCACTTCACCGGTTCCAATTTGGCTGTTGGTATATCGAAGTGGTGAAGTTTTTGTACAGTACGGCTAAGATGGCTATCCGAATACAGAACCAGAATACAAAACCTATGCAACAGCAGATAGTTGTAAGACTTGGTGATTTTATATCCCAAAAACTATTTACGGCTGCATTAAAAAACGTTTTTAAGCTACTGGACTGAAAATGATACCGTATCAGTATCAAAGCGAACAACTGCTTTGCCGACAATATAGTCATTACGTCAATACCACTAGATACTAGATATAGATATAGATAGAGGAATAATGCCTTCCAGCCGATAGGGTTGTATTTCTACTATCTTGAAAATTAGACAAATAAATAACAAACTATTTAAAAAAAATGTCGTCAAAACTTGTTTTAACATTTTGTACATATATTATTTCGGATCAGCTTCTGTTATTTAAACGTACCGCCAACACCACGTCCGGCCCTATCCTGCTTGTGCCCTACTAGAGTAAGCCCCACAGCGCGAGTGGTTCACAGTACGGCCACGTTGCCTGGCAGGCCCGACGGCGTGGGCAGCATCACCGTGCAGGAGAAGGAGAAGTTCGCCGAGATCAAGGAGCGCCTCAAGACGCTGCTGCAGCATCAGATCACCAACTTCAGATACGCGTTTCCGTTTGGGAGGCCCGAAGGCGCGCTTAAGGTAATTTAACCCTGACTCTCTCTAAAACCGCCATTTTGTTATGATACGCGGCGTGTCTAAGGTACTTACAATATACAGTATGTAACAAAAACCCCTGTGGTTCCCGTTAAGTACGTTATCAGGATCAGTATTCAAACGTATAGAAATAACTTTTTTTTAAAAACTCGATTCTTTTTTATTTTGTTAAAAAAAATAATTGTATGCAAATTGTATGTGGTTTTATTACCTCTGCATTGTCTGGAGAGTAAGAGGTTTGTCAAAAAACCCCACTTTACTTAGCTTTAGCATCAGCTAGTGTCAGTAAGAAATAACAAAACCACATAAAATTAAAGAAAAAAAAATATGGTCGATTTAAAAAAAAATCTTCTATAGGTTTGAATACTGATCCTGATAACGTACTTAACGGGAACCACAGGGTTTTTATTACATGTTGTATAACGTACGTATCCCTTTACTTCTATCAAGTTCATCAACACCACGAAGAAATTCATTATTCTATTATATCAAACGTTATCATCCACATCATCTGGATGCTTGACGATTTGGTTTCGACCACTGTGCCTTGAAGTTTTCTTCCTAGCACGAAAAGTCTTAGGGATCTTCAAGAAACGAGCTTACTCCTTTTTGAAAGGCCGGCAACGCACCTACAATTCCCCTGGTGTTGCATTTGTCCATAGTCGGCTGTCGACAACTACCATCAGATGAGCCGCATGCTTTTTTAAGGTTTCCTTTTTACATCGCAATATACAAATCCTGTGTAACTTTAAAATTATATTGTAATGGAAACCTAACAAACCATAGATACCTACAAATACACATACATATCTACAAAACTAAACTAAAAAATAAGATCAAACTTCACTTGTACTTTGTCTTAGACGTACTACAAATAATTCAATGATGTGATATTGTGCAAGTAATAATATAATAATATTTCATATCATTCTTATTATATTATTTTGTAACATAATAAATATTATGGCATTAAAAAAAATATCACCCCAAAGTTTTATGCCTTTTTCGGGTTCCGTACCCGAAAGGTAACCAACGTCTGTCTGTCAGTGGCCTGTATGTCATGATCCGTAATAGGTAGACATTTTAAATTTTCACAGAATGTGTATTTCTGTTGACGCTATAACAACAAATAATAAAAATAAAAATAAATTAAAAATTAAAGGGGGTTCCCTTACTAGAAAGGTGTTTTACGATAGTGTCGCACTTGGACGGTTTTTTATGGACGTCTTAATTTTTATACCGATGGTAGATTTTTTTACGTTCATAAAACCTAGAATTATTAGATAAAAGATTTTGACATTAAATTAACTTTAAAGTTTTCTATTCCTTGTTGAGGCTTGACAGATTGAGGCCTTGAAAAAAGTCCCGCTGGGTTTCTTGCTGGTTCTTCCCAGGACAGAGGTTTTTTCCTAACCAGTGGTAACCAAACAAAAGAGTGACTTTCAATAAGTATTATTTATAATCTATATTGAATAAAAAAGTTTCTGTTTCTGTTTCTGTTTCTTGTTCACACAATATATTTGTTTTGTCAAGACAATCGTTTCACATCTACGCTAGGATCAGGAGAATACACTTATCAGGTGTATTCAAATTATAAACAAATATAATTACTCATACTTTATACTATTGACGTGGTAGAGCCATGCTGCAGCTATTAATAGTATAGTTGTAGCACGAATGGGTCGGCTCGACTGGGGAAGGACCACGCTCTCACAGAATACCAACGTAAAATAGAAGCTTAACGCTGTTGTATTTCGTATGGTGAGTGTAGATAACCGGAGACTCTTTTTACTGGAAACGAGGCATTCCATCTTAGTCCTCACGGGTCACAACGCATCTGCATTTTGATTCGTAATCGAAGATAGATGTAGATGTCTATGGGCCACAGTAACTACTTACCATCAGGTGGACTGTGTGCTCGTTCACCCCTATCACCTTTATCCTATAAAAAAAATACTTACAAAATATCTTGGTTTAAGGCCAAAAAAGCAATTCACAAAATGCGAACAACATGTGGCGCGAAGACGCTGTGGGACAGTTATTAATAAATTTTATATTTACACAGTAAAAAGTCCTCGGTTCTTGTAAATAAAAATCATCGCAACATGCAGAACAACGTCTACGGGGCAATTTCGTTTGTCTATAAGAAAGACGTGCTTAGAAATTAAATTTATTAGCATGATTCAATTAGGTTAAATAATTAATTACCCTTAAAATTAGCTATAATTTGAATTGTTTCAGGCTACTCTATCTTTACTGGAGCGGGTGCTAATGAAGGATGTGGTGACACCGGTAGCACCGGAAGAAGTCCGAGCCATGATACAAACGAGCCTCGAGAACGCGGCCTTGCTGAATTATACACAACTCAGTCAAAAAGCTAACATTGAAGGTTAAAATAATTATTAACTGTTTGATATAAATAAATAAAAACAATTTCTTTAAAAAATATCTAATAGCCTGTATAAATATTTAATAGTTGCGGTGATAATAAACAGGCTTGGGTTAAACCTGCCGTTTACATAATATGTAACATTTTATTTAAATTGAAATTCAACCAATCATTTATTAGCTAACTGTAATGGGTAAAACAGTTCATAATAATTATTCAACATAAAGTTTCCTTAACATAATCATTAATAAATACCTACTTATTTAGATATAAAAATACAATAACACAAACAATCAAATGCCTTATCAAAATCGAAGATGGTTTATGAAAGTATTAGAATTGATTAAAAAACTTTTGTAACAGAAAATTTTGCAAGCTGATGAATGTTCATATATTATTCAAAGAACGTTACAGATTTTTAAAATCTCTTCGCAAAATAGCAAAAGTGCATCTACAGACTTCAAAAAGGAGACAGTACTCAATTCGACTGTATGTTTTTTTTATTTGTGTTACCTCATAACTTTTTGTGGGTAAACCGATTTCGATGATTCTTTTTTTATTTGAAAGCTAGTGCTTTACATATTGTCTCATATAAATTTGATCAAGGTCTGTCTAATACATAGGCTGCACTAAAAGTATCGGGAATGGAATATTTCCACTGTTCCTGTCATATTAAAATCTTTTTAATTGAAAAGTCCTTGGTTTTAAAAATCGAATACCATTTATTTATTTAAAAAAAGATTCTCGGTCTTGTCACAAGGTTTTGTCAAACTTGTTTAGTCGTTGAGAAAATGGAATTGACTCGAGAAAATTCAAGAGCGATGATTTATTATGACTTTCGAAGTGGTTTAACACAAGAACAGTATGTTAACCGGATGATTTCTGCATTTGGTGATGAAGCCCCATCCAAAACCACAATTTATCGCTGATTTGCTGAATTTCAACGTGGACGTGTCAAGCTCAATGATGATCCCCATCAAGGTCGTCCAAAAACTGCAGTCACCCAAGAAAACGTTGATGCTGTGCGTAAGCTGATTGAGGAAGATCGACATGTGACATACCGCGAAATTTAGGCAACTTTAGACATTGGCATGAGTCAAATACAAATAATCTTGCATGAACAATTAGGTGTAAAAAAGCTATTTTCCGATGGATACCGCATTCGCTCTGTGAAGAGCAAAAAGCGGCTCGCGTTACTTGATGCGTCAGAACTCTCGAAAGATTCCACGCAGGATCCTCAAATGCTGTATATAACATCGTATCAGGTGACGAATCTTGGATATACGCGTACGAACCCGAAACAAAAAACCAGTCACGAGTTGGGGTGTTCGAAAATGAGTTAAAGCCAACAAAAGTTGTTCGTTCACGGAGTGTTGCAAAAAAATGGTGGCCACGTTTGTCTCCGAAACCGGCCATGTTACGACTATTCCTGTTGACGGACAAAGAACGGTTAATACAGAATGGTATGCTAGCATTTGTTTGCCACAGGTCGTTTCTGAACTCCGTAAAGAGAACTGCAACCGCCGCATCATCCTCCATCACGACAATGCGAGTTCTCACACCGCACACAGAACAAAAGAGTTTTAGAGCAAGAAAACATAGAATTATTAGACCATCCGCCGTACAGCCCCGACCTAAGCCCTAATGATTTCTATACTTTCCCTAAAATAAAGAATAAATTGCGTGGACAGAGATTTTCATCACCCGAAGAAGCTGTGGACGCCTACAAAACGGCCATTTTGGAAACCGCAAATTCCGAATGGAATGGTTGCTTCAATGATTGGTTCCATCGTATGAAAAAATGTGTCAAATTTCGCGGAGAATACTTCGAAAAGCAATAAATACATTTTTAAATAGTAATATTGTGTCACTTCCTTGATTCCAGAAATTTTCTAGTTTTTGAGTTAAGTATTCTTAATAATTTATGTTCAAGTCAGTTGTACAAAATTATTAATTTAAAATTATTATTAATTCATAAAATATTTGCTTTGGATTATGTGATGAACAAAAGATAAATTAATAGCATATTTTGATTGTCACAAGCCTTTGATTTGTTGATTTAATCTACTTAATGTAGTATTAAAATATTCAAGTTTTAAAATTATTATACCTAGTCAGGTCATAAGTATTGTCACACAGTAAAAACTTTTCTTTTAGAATGCTGGCCACAAAAAAGTTTATTGAATAAGAATTTCGAATTGTTCATAAAAATAAAACTGTATACTTTTTAGAATGTTACTCATTTTTAAATATGGAGTGGACGCTTAAAGAAGACCGTGTTGCAGTTATTGCGTTGCATCGTTGCGGTTACGCGCCAATTCAAATTTTTGACATACTGAAAAATTTGAATATAACCAAAAGATTCGTTTATCGTACCATCAAACGATACAATGAAGACTCTAGTGTAGATGACAGGTCAAGAAGTGGTCACCCTCGGTCTGTTAGGACTCCACCAGTGATAAAAGCTGTGAAGGCGCGAATTCAAAGAAATCCCAAACGTAAGCAGAAACTGTTGGCCCTTCAGATGGGGTTAAGCAGAACCACGGTGAAAAGGGTGTTAAATGAAGACTTAGGGCTTCGGGCATATCGAAGAAAAACAGGACATCGTTTGAATGCTCGTCTAATGGACCTGAAACTGAAGCGATGCCACGCTTTGTTGAAGCGGTACGCGGAAAAAAAATATCGGGAAATTCTTTTTTCGGATGAAAAAATTATTACCGTAGAAGAGATCTACAATAAACAAAATGATAAGGTGTACGCACACAGTAGTGAAGAAGCGAGCAACCGTATTCCGCGTGTCCAACGAGGTCATTTTCCATCCTCGCTCATGGTATGGTTGGGAGTTTCTTATTGGGGCTTAACAGAGGTACTTTTTTGTGAGAAAGGTGTAAAAACGAATGCAGTTGTGTATCAAAATACCTTGTGGAACCTGTTTCTCATACCATGTTCAATAACAGGCACTGGGTATTTCAACAAGATTCGGCGCCAGCTCATAGAGCGAAGAGCACACAAGACTGGCTGGCGGCGCGTGAAATCGACTTCATCCGGCACGAAGACTGGCCCTCCTCCAGTCCAGATTTGAATTCGTTAGATTACAAGATATGGCAACACTTGGAGGAAAAGGCGTGCTCAAAGCCTCATCCCAATTTGGAGTCACTCAAGACATCCTTGATTAAGGCAGCCGCCGATATTGACATGGACCTCGTTCGTGCTGCGATAGATGACTGGCCGCGCAGATTGAAGGCCTGTATTCAAAATCACGGAGGTCATTTTGAATAAACTTTAGTGTCATAAGAATCTATGTTTTGTTAAGTTCATTTTGGTATATAAATGGTTACATAATGAATAAACTTGTTTCAATTATTTTATATTAAACATGTGACAGAATTTATGACCTGACTAGGTATAATATTTTACAGAGGATCTCAGGGGAGAAACAATGGTTACACCTGCTAAGAAATTGGAAGATCTGATCCATCTCGCTGAGTTGTGTGTGGACCTCTTGCAACAAAATGAAGAACATTACGCCGAGGTAATATGAGGCAGGACTTTGGTAGAAATTATAATTTTCGAGTTGTAAGTGTGGGCTTTTAATAAAATAACATACCTACACAATCAATTGAATAAAATTTCGTATGCATTATCTACTTACAATTCGAAATATCAATTATTTGGTGTTGATATTGTATGTCGTGGTACTTACTTAAGGCAAAACTTTTTACTAACCCAAAATAATTTAACAAAAATTTTTTGACGTTGCATTCTAATAAGAACAAGGAGTTTTCATCTACTATTATTATCAGTAATATCGATTTCATTTTTATCTAACCTTTCTATATATAATGTCCTTATTTAAGAAATTTATTTCTGGAGACATTTTGAAAAAGTTTTGCTAAGCAATGTGTGTGTTCACTGGAATAAGCACCCTACTGTCCTATCGCTATTAGTGTGGGAAATGATCAGGCAATTATATTTTGTTAGTTTTATTAAATGAGCTGAAAATATTTTTATCAGTTAATTGTGCGTTTAATAATTATTTAGAAGAATACATTATTACCTTTTGCTTGACTTAAATTATATTTACAGCTCAACGACATGTTGGAAATCGAGTAAAAGTAAAAAAAAAAATAACTCCGGTATCCATATGATATTACGACTATATTCTGATTCATCCGACTTAAATAATTTATCAGACATAATATATAATGTAATATTTATCAATATTTGGAGTGACGACCTGGTAACACATGCAAGAGGTCGATGAATGCAGGTGTCTCAGGACCATGTTTTGTGTCATTCCTTGAGCGAGACCTATGTTTAGCACTTTACTTATGAAGGGTTGTAATGATGAAGAAGTTGATCTTGTGCGATACTGTTAATGCTGTTAAATTTATTACTACTATATATCCAACTACTGCCGTTCCTCATTGCCACCCATGCAGAAACCTGATGGAACACTGGCTCATTCCGCGACTGAGAAAGCAAATTCATTTGCATCTTTGTTTGAGAGCAATTCTCGTCTATATGTTGGGTCTAAACAACCGCCAACCCTGTTTGACTGTGATTCTTCGATGCCGAAGGTCACTATCAATATGAAAGAGGTACATAGGGCTTTGCAAAACCTAGGCGTGTACAAGGCCAGTGGAACTGATGGTGTTCTTGCAAAGGTGTGGAGTGGTCTCCTGTTAACTCGAATACATCTCTCTGATAACTCGAACGGTGCCCAAATACTGGAAGCTTGCCAATGTGCAACTAGTACCCAAGAAGGGTAGTAGTGCCGATCCCTCTAATTATCGACCAGTCGCCATTACCTCCATACTCCGTAAAGTTATGGAAAGGGTACTGAACAGTAAGCTGCTGAAATGCCTTGAAACAAATGGCCTCCTCAGGGATCACCAATATGGCTTCCGCCGGGAAAGTTCCACAGGGGATCTCCTTGTGTATGTCACTTTTGGGGCGAGGTCATCGAGAAGAACTGTGAAGCTATAGCAGTTTCACTCGATATCTCGAATGTTTTTGACAGGGTTTGGAACGCAAGTCTGCTGAATAAGCCTCCTGCTTACGGAATCCCCGCTGAATTTTGCAACTGGAAATCTGACTTTCAGAGTGAACGGTCGATCAGGGTAGACATAAATGGCTGCTCTTCTGCCTTAATGCATATTAATGCCGGAGTTCTTCAGGGGTCGGTTCTCTCTGCAACTCATTTCCTGCTGCACATCAATGGCCTACTTCTACCAGGTATTGTTGGGTATGCAGATGACAGTACAGTCATAGAAAGATTCATGTCCAGTGCGGAAAAGACGGAGCGACAGTAATACGTTCATTGAGAAAGGCCATGGTGGAGCGGATAAATGGGACCTTAAGTTTAGTTTCCAAATAGGGTGACGACAATCTGGTCACTTTCAACGCCGCCAAAACGCAGGCTTGTCTGTTCTCCGTAAAACGGAGTCCCTTTTATCTAACTCCTACTTTCCGAGGTACATCTGTAGAGGTTACTGATCATCACGAGCTTATCGGCATACAGTTGGGTGCTAACCTCAACTTTGGCACTAACATTGAGTGCCATAAATCTGGGTATTCTTAGCAAGGTGAAGCGATACTTCACGCCTGGATAGCTTCTAACTTTATACAAAGCTCAGGTACAAACGTACTCACCTTTGGGATGGCTCAGCAAAATATCAACTTGCCGCACTCGATTCAGTGGAACGCAGAGCCAGGAGGCTTATCGGCGACAGAAAGCTGGTGGAAACTAAGCTTCACAGCTGCGCTTGTTTGTCCACCGCCAAGTTGCTTATTTGTCGATCTTCTACAGATTGTACTTCGGAGAGTGTGCCTATGAGCTTCATAAGCTCACACCGCCATCTCCATTATCCTATCGGATTACTAGAGTTACTGCAGACGTACGGCAATATTTGCACTAAGCGTCAAGTCAAGTCAGAGTCAAAGTCATCGTTTATAATGCGCACAGCCAAAGAGTTGAATGCCCTGCCAGCGTCTGTTTTTCTGAGTGCTTATAACCTGGACCTCTCCAAGGTGCGTGTTAACATGCTTCTCCTGGCAAACTCGTTCCATCTATCGCTCATCCATAAACTACTACGACATCCTAAGCACACCTGCAGCTCATTTCAAATAAAGCTGACTACAGATACGATATCACCCATAACAATAATACAATACAAACACTCACGCTTGTCACCCAGAGGGGTAGGCAAAGACTACGGACTTCCATTTGGCGCGATCCTGACACACTTCTCTCGCCTCCTTTACATCCATATATTTACGCATACACGCTCGTCGGTTAAGGGCCTAATCTGGCCCATTTTCAATGTATCGCCGATTTGGTCGATAAATCTTCGTCTAGGGCGTCCCTTCCCGACTTTGCCGTTCACTTCTGAAACATAAATTTGCTTTGTCACTCTTTCCTCGTTCATTCTTTCTACGTGACCAAACCACCGAAGCATTCCTTTTTTAATCCTAGTCACAACGTCATCTTGCAAACCACACATTTCTCTTATCACACTATTTCTCACCCTGTCATTCAGATTCAGCCCTAGCATACTACGTAATGACCGCATTTCTACAGCCTTTATTCTACTCTCATGCTTCTTCTGCCATACCCAACTTTCACTACCATACATTAAAGTAGAGACTAACACACCATTATGAATTGCCATACGTGCCTTCTTTGACACATACTGACTCTTCATAATAGAGTGTAGAGCCCCATTAACTCTATTTCCTGCGTTCACTCGTCGTTCTATATCCTTGTCATATCTACCATCCCTGCTAAATAAACATCCCAAATATAAAAACTCATCCACTTGCTCAATCAACTCCCCTTCTATTCTTATTTCACATAACGTTTTACTTTCTTCTCTTTCAAAAACCATCACTTTCGTCTAACTTGCGTTCACTTTCATACCCCTTTCTTTTAATGACCAGTTCATTAAATTAACCATCATTTGCAACTCGGCCGCCGACGATGCAAATATGACTTGATCATCGGCGTACAAAATGCATTTGACAGTTAACTCACCCATTCTCAACCCACATTCTTTAACTTTCAAAGTTTGCAAACAGCTGTCCATATATAGGTTAAACAGCCACAGAGAAGCTACACAACCCTGTCTGACACCATTTTGAATGCCAAACCAGTCCGAGTAGGCCCCGTTGATCCTGACACAAGCACTAGAGTCCCTATAAAGAGACTTTAATGCCTGTATCAGACCAGCGCTCAACCCAAATGAAGTCAGTGTTTGCCATAACACGTTCCTATCCACTCTGTCATAAGCCTTTTCCAAGTCCATGAACGCACAAAAAGCTTTCTGTTTTTTGGCCAAAAATTTCTCCGCAATCATGCGCATGGAAAAGACTTGATCGATACATCCCATCCCCTATCTAAATCCAGCTTGCACATCCCAAATTTTTCCATCAGTTTCTTCCATAACTCTTTCAATTATCTGATCTGAGGTATTCCTCAGCATACAGTTTACCCACAATGCTAAGCAAGCTGATACCACGGTAGTTTTTACAGTCCTGCTGCGACTCCTTCCCTTATATATTGGGACTATAACGGCTTTGCACCAGTCTTCCGGTACCCGCTTCAGTTCCCAACATAAATTAAACAAGGTGTACAGCAGGCCTGCAACCACACCCTCTCCAGCCCTTAGCATGTCGAGTGATACTCTATCATATCCGGCAGTCTTACCTGCTTTTCATTGCTTTCATTATTTCATCTACGCTTATCTCCCTACCTCTCTCCACTTCTTCCGGAATTTCTATTTCACTTACTTCAGACGACTCTTCACTCTTAAACACGTTTTCAAAGTATTTCTTCCATCTCTTTAAATTCGAAACTTCATCATTCAGCATGCAGCCATTCTCGTCTCGTATAGCATTCATTCTAGGCTGTTTTGAATTTCCCCTGGCAGTTCTTACGAGCTTCCAGAACATTTTAAAATTTGCCTGGAAGTTATCAGATATTCTTCTATCATTCTTATCTATTCTTTCTTGCTTTTTCCTTTAAACAACTTCTTTTACTCTCTTATTTATACGTCTAAAGTCTGCCTTTTGCCTTTCAATCTCATCATTCATACCGCCAGAATTACCAGCTTTGGTTGCTAGTAACTCTATCCATGCCCTCTTCTTTGCTTCAACTTCCATCCGTACCTCATCATCCTACCACAACGTATTACTTTTCCTTACATTTGTTCTCTTACTTACACCACATACTTCGGTGGCTATATCCACCAAAACTTTCTTAACATTATTCCATACATTCTTCAAGTCTAAATAATTCATACAAAATTCATTCAACTCACTTATATTTTCCCTCAGTCTGCATTTATACTTCTCTTTCACACCTTCATCTTGTAACCTTTCTATTCTTATACGCTGTAACGCAGTAGTAGACACAGATGTCCGATGCCGCCAACGCTTGAATAGACCATTAATTCGGCATAAGACCAAGTAATGATCCGTCCCTACGTTGGACCCACGGTAAACTCTTGTATCTACCACTGCGCTCCTCATTCTTTTATCCACAATTATGAAATCTATCATGCTTCTATCATCCCCTCTTTCCCAAGTATACATGTGAATCCTCTTATGGCGAAAGAAAGTGTTCGCCACAAAAAGATTCTTTTCCACACATTATGGTGAGGAGGTCTTCACCATTCTCATTTATTCTTTCATCGCCAAACGCTCCTAATATCCTTTCATAACCATACCTCTTCACCCCAACCCTTCCATTAAAATCACCTAACATAATAATATCTTCATTTTCCTTACATTTCGTCAACACCAGCCTTACCATGTCCCAAAACTGCTCTCGGATATAAGTGGGCTTAGACATATCTGGGGCCTACACCCCAAGCACAAACAACTTTTTTAAGCCCACTGTCATTCGTATCCACAGCAGCCTTGGTCTTACACATTCATACTCTTTCACACATTGACCCATTCTTTCTGAAAGGATGACACCGACTCCCTGGCATGCCCGCTCGGTCTCGTCTACACCAGACCAGTAAGCGGTATACATACCATGTGCAGTGACATCTCTTCCCTTTCGTTTCGTCTCATTCACACATAACACATCTATTCCTCTATCATTCATCATTTTGCATATTTCATCCATCTTATCATTGATTGCTCCACATACATTCAGCGTAGCCAGACGGGCCTCCACAATCCACCATTCGCCCCTCCGGAAGACAGGACGTGACGGGTGGCGAACCTTGTCGCCGGTTTTCCTCCCGGAGATTCTTCGCACCCCTGCCCCATTAAAGGGGCGCCGAGAACTCGGGGCCATTTCTTTAAATTGTTGGCTCATGGTGCGACATAAGGGGTGGTAGATTTTACGCCGCTACCACACGGCGAGGAGCCGAGTCTGTCGTTTCGGCTTTGTCGCTCCTTTAGCACCACCCGGGGGACACGTGTAGGGTGGGCCTAGGGTTAGGTGGTCGAAGCCTATGGACGCGAGCGACTCATCCCCATCACCCATAACAATATAGATTAAATAGCTCATAAACTAATCTTTCTGGTTCAAACCAAAATACAACTAGGGGTGGTAGCAATATGTAAGAGGATGACGGAAAAGTCACCTAGTATTTTTTTTAATATGTATAAAGTCACGTTTTAATAAACATTATTCTTAAATTGTTCAGTTATTATTAATTAAAAATAGTAAACAAAGTCGAATGAATAAGATTACATTTATTCTACAATAATCGAATCATTAGTCACCTCATTTTCTACATGTCCTGAACGATTGAGTGGACCAATTTAATCAAATTAATTAAAATTTCTTTTATAAATTTTACTACAAATTTATTATAAAATATTGTAAATAAAATTCTAAATTTAGCGCCTTAATCCATAGTCTGGTCTTCTCAATCAATTTGTTACATTTTAATTTGGGAGGGAAAAAAGGATTATTTTGTTCAAAAGAATTACCTAAATTTATATTTATGTCGCTTAATCGCCAAGTGAAGTAACTTCCTTAAGATCGAATAATATATTTCTCATTACAACAAGATTTTTTTTTGATAATACAGATTTTAGTTTATATATAATATGTGATCTAACAAATCTAGTCTAGAATTGAACACATAAATGTATTTTTGTCATATTCTTAAATAACAAAGTCAGGTTGTAATTTTTAAAGACAATCACTTGACGATTTTGGATGTATCCTAAGTACTCTATATAACTTTTGGTACTACACTTCTATCTTATCTTTTATTTCTCCGCAGGTTTATAACACAAAACCGGACTCTAGCGGTCAACAAAATGTAACTACTCATGATTTGGTTAATTGCTAACGGCTGATCAAATCACTTGTCAGATTTATTCACCCGGTCTTCATCATTTTTTTCACTCAGATTTGATCACTGATTGCGAGGCGTAGTCTCGAGTCGATCTAGCACCGACACTCGCTTGGATAGTGCTTAGAATTTCTAGAAATCGAAATTAAAAGCTATGCATGACAAAACTATATAGCAATTCTTTCTAAATTTATAACTGTTATCTATTTTCAATGTTAATAAGCTTTATAACAATACAAATTACATTCACACTGCTAACACATACTCGACACTCGATAACATTCAGCGCTGTATTGTGTTGGATATCATTTATTAATAAATAACATGATGTGATATTACCCCGCTTCGAAACTAACAATTATGAAATGTGTAAAAATATGAATATGTAAGTATTCCCAATCGGTTTTGTTAGTAAGTCATTCTTGAAAGACGTCGAACGTGTCGGAAAAGTGAGTGTGATTGTACAGATATTACAGTTGGTCACAAGCGTCATTCAAAATTTTAAAAAAAATGATGCCGATTTTTAAAAATAGAATAGAGTGATTTTAACTGTATGCATAGTTTTAAATTTTGATACCGATTCTTCGTGAGCGAGTGCCGGGTAATACAAGTTGCTGTTTTTAAACTTTTCATTCTGGGCTCAAAATTTCTTTTGAAATTTGTTCCGTTTATAGGCAGAATTGGCAGGGATCTTGTGGTCTGTTTCGTCTATAATGAAAAGTGCTGCTGTGATTATTTCAATTCCCGCACGTCAAACACAACATGATATATCAGTCACAGAAATTCATTCGATCTCCTTTACAGTACAACATTTCACACCACTTCACAGTAAATGGTCGCTTACGTAGACTGCTATTGAATCAATTCGATCTATGTTTTCATTCAGTACAGTTGTAAACAATTCTATATTTCTTACTAGTTTTACTTTGATGTTCGAATCGGATTTACATTTAAGATACAATAGAAATTGTAAACAATTTTTTTTTTGTGAATTGTTATTATTATTTCACTATGTATACGCTATAACATTTTCTACTGCTTTTAGTTTGACAATAAAGGCGCATTTTCATTGATTGATGTTCCATAACGATGCATGCTGGTCGTGGGAGGTTCTCAAAACATTCCAGTTAATTGTGCCATCGAGAGCTGTGTATGTGAGCCAATGATCGATTAAAGAAAATGAGCCATTATGTAGTTCGCAATTTGCGATATTATTTGTGTGGAATTGCATGCATCTTAGTTTACTTATTACATGGATATGTTTATGAGATCGTAAACGTGTAGTAATAATTTAAACTATAACTATTGGGACTACCGAATAGATTTATCGGTTTTTGTTTTGTCATTTCACTTTAATCCATAACATAATCTCCCTGATTTTGTATTGTCTGTCTTATTAGCTAATAGATGCCATTTAAATAGTGTGTCTTTTGATGCCAAAAAATCTTCAACCGCTGAGACCTTTTCATAATTTTGATTTTTTTTTTCTTATCGCGTTATTTATTAAGTCTTACGGAGCAATAAGCCATGGCTACTTGTCCCAATTCAGATATATATAGTTGTATTTTCTATAAAATCCTCTCAGACATGAGAGGAGGCCTGTACTGAATTTAAGCAAACAAAGGCAGTAACTTTACTTTTATTATACTTTTTATCTTTGAATTGTCACGATGTACGAGTAAGAACTCTTTCTCTATCTCTAACCTTTAGCAGAAAGTTTTTTGTAGCGCTCTTTCCGCCATGTTTTTCTCCGTTAGTTCACGCTACTTACTGGTACTGTCTATAAATAATACAATCTATACCGTCGAAATTCATATGACGCAATAAAATCCTATATTTTAAGTCACTGTATTAAAAAGTAATGGAGAAATATGTGTGTACTACGAAAACCGACAGACCTGTCCGGTAGATTACCTACAATATAATATTAAGGCTTATTTTAATATTAGTATTATATCACTATACTTAATGAAGATCCCTTAATCGAAAAAATAAATATCAAAAAATAGAATTAAACTGTTTTTTTTTAGAATTTTGTATTTATCAAAGTATAGCTATAACTAACATCATATTTTTTTTAAATTAATTAAAATAATTAGTTAAATCAAACCAGTACAAATTAGCTGCCATTTTTTATTATCTGTATCTTTAACTTCCACGTCCGCCTCATTAACAGGCGTTCGCGTGGTTCTCCGAACTGCTCGTTGAGCACGCGGAGATCTTCTGGGCACTATTCGGAGTAGACATGGACCGCGTGTTAGCAGAGCAACCACCAGATACATGGGATTCTTTCCCACTGTTCCAGATATTGAATGATTATTTGCGCACTGACGGTGAGTAGGAGAAAAACTGATTTTCTTTTAAAAACTGCAAAAAATTTAAGATCAAGCCACTAAGTCATTGTTTTGTGTATTAATATAACACTCTAGAAACTGATAAACTTTTATTTAAAACTTCTCAATTAAATGATATTTTGTAACAAAAAACTTGAACTCAGTGTCAACTAGCAACATCTGGTGAGTGGAAGATTATTGGCCCTCATTAAGGTGCTGTGCAAACATATTTTTATATAAATAGAAGGGGGAAATGTAAACGCACATTATACAATATAATTAAAACGTGTATTTCATCATCATCATCATTACAGCCCTTGACAAGTCCACTGCTGAACAAAGGCCTCCCCCAAAGAATGCCACAAAGCACGGTCCCGAGCCACCTGCATCCATCGAATTCCTGCATATCTTACCAGGTCGTCACTCCATCTAGTGGGGGGACGCCCTACACTTCGCCTGCCGGTACGAGGCTGCCACTCGAGAACCTTTCTTCCCCATCGGTTGTCGGTTCTTCGAGCTATATGGCCGGCCCATTGCCACTTCAGCTTACTAATCCGTTGGGCTATGTCGGTCACTCTGGTTCTAATGCGGATATCCTCATTTCTGAGTTTATCACGCAGAGAAACTCCGAGCATAGCCCTCTCCATAGCTCGCTGAGCGACCTTGAGCTTCCTCATCCGGCCAGCAGTGAAGGACCACGTGTATTTACACTGCAACAAAAGCGATATCAACACACTTAAATAATTACAACGTAGTGACAAAACTTACTTATAAAAGGTTACTTTGGATATTCTAAGATCGGCGTTAAAATAAAAAATATTGTGGGAGGCAGGCAGTTGTTCTTCAAACTAAAAATTTTTACGCAAATTTAACACTCACTGTCCGATTTTCAGACACAATAGTAAGACAATATCAATGAACTATATTATGTAGTACACGTATACGTAGGTGTCGTAAGAGATGACTATATAAAATACCAGAAAGATCTTTGGTTTCCGACAGATATCGGTATTTCCATACCGTTTTCGACAACGAGAGGCTCATGGGCCTACAGCGCTGCAACTAGCTTGCTACATATCTATTAATCTATGGCTGCAACCAATTATACAATGGTAATTTGGATCTCGCTTATGGTTATTCTGTTGCTTACAGTTTTTTTAATCGATGATTTGTGCAAATGTGGTGTAGGAAATATTCCACTAAACCAAATCATCACGTAGGTGCCGTAAGAGGCGACAAAGAGAAACAAACTAGAAGATATGCAGCAGCATCTTCTTACAACTAAAAATTAAATACTGCACTGCCTGCCACGTGTCGCAACTATCGCAAATATCGAGATCATTTGAGGCAATTTATGGGGGAGGCCTGAATTTATCAGTGGACTTCTAATAGGCTGCAACGGTAACAAAAACGCGTTTGTCTAACTTTTTTTCTTAATACAGAGAACCTAAAAGGCGGTAGATTCCACGAACATCTGCGCGATACTTTCGCGCCATTGGTAGTCCGCTACGTGGATCTAATGGAGTCGTCGATAGCACAGTCCCTGCACAAGGGATTTGAGAAGGAGCGATGGGAGATTAAAGGGTTTGTATACAAGTAAAATTATATTTAAAAGATTTTTTGCAATATGGTGGCCGCGTAATAGAATTCATAAGGTAATTCATTACGACAATATTAGGAGAGTTTTTTTTAGCTTGTTTACGCAGATCTAAGCTAATTGATTTCTAACATCCATACATATCAATAAAATTGAAATGTCTCTCTGTAATATTGAAATAACTGGTTTATTTGTTTGGGGGGTTATTTGCATGCTATTAAGACATAAAAAACCATTTCTAAATGTTTGTCTGTCTGTCTGGCCGGGCTAATATTCGTAATGGCTGTAGCGATCGTGATGAAACTTTACGAACAAATAAAGATGCACAGGAGGGATATAAGCTATGTTTTATCTGAGAAACTAAGTTTTTTTTAAAAGTGAAAAATTTATAATATAAATGGTCTTTGATTGTCTCGAATCTAAAAACGCCACTAAGTTAAGGCGAGCTTCTAGTCCTTAATATAATAGATTTTCGCAAAGTAACGACTGATTCCATTAGTTATCATTCCGACAATGGGAAATGCCCAAAAGATTTTATCACCACAGATGGTTCACCACGCTATAAGTCGCCAAAGGCGCGTAAGTCGGTAAAATCGTTGTTTTTTTTTGCGCACAGAATAAATGAAAAAGGGCTACCCCGATACGCGAGGAGGCGGTAAATGCTTCATGCATACCACGACAGCCGGTCTGTCGTGGTTATGCGGTACTCACTGTAACTATCCTACGGGGGACCTAAGTGATACCCGCTAAAAACCGCCTGTGGGACTGGCATCTGGCTGATTAAGCTTCTTTGCCGGATCGGAAGCGACCCTCTTTTGGGAGACGAGGGCGCAGGCAGCTACAAAGAGCCGCTGAGGGAGAGCCTACTTAGGCAAATTTAAGAAGAATTGGCCTGAGCCGCCAGGAGGCAGTCCAGGTCGGTTGAAATATTATTTGGCGGGTCCGAGAGAGAGTTTCTCGGCCTGCAGACTCGATAGCGAGAGGGGAGTGGGGCTGCATAAGTAGCTGCCTCACGATTAAAATGATTGGAATGATAAAATGATTGGAATGATAAAATGATTGGAATGATAAAATGATTGGAATAGTAAAATGCTTGGAATGATAAAATGATTGGAATGGTAAAATGATTGGAATAGTAAAATGCTTGGAATGATAAAATGATTGGAATAGTAAAATGCTTGGAATGATAAAATGATTGGAATGATAAAATAATTGGAATGGTAAAATGCTTGGAATGATAAAATGATTCGAATGGTAAAATGATTGTGTGCCGGACGGGCGTAACTCTCCGGAGTAAATGTTGTCGAAGATACTCCGCGAGCCGCTCACGTCCTACACCTATAGGTTCCGGTGGATACTTTCACTACCGCCTTTGTGTATGCTGTTGGAGAACTGTGGACTGAGGTTCAGAATTAAAAATGCACGATTTATAAATTAAAATAGCAAGGGAGTGGCCAGCGGTTCGACTGATTAATTAGTCGCGAAATATTATAACTTATTTATTTATTTAACACTGTTTTTCAACTATGATTGTTCACTATATATTTTAAAACACAGATTTAATTAAACACACAGTAATATTAAAATTTCTATTGGTTTTTTAAAATTTCTATTCGTATTTTCAAAATATCTGTTGGTAATATCAAATTTCTATTGGCAGTAACAAGTTTCTATTGGTATTCTCTACTATTTCTATTGGTAATTTTAAATATCTATTGAAAGTAACAAATTTCTATTGGTAGTATCCAAAATTTCTATTGGTAGCAGCTGGTTTTCTAACACTACTGACTAGCAGCTATTAATCAACTAAATTTAGTTGAATTTAACACTTTTGTAACTGCGAATATCAGTTACCACTTTTTCCGTCTAGCTAACACTTTTCACTATATGTAACGGCGAAATTTCCGTTACCACTTTTTTCAGCTAGCCAACACTTTTTCACTATATGTAACTGCGAATATCAGTTACCACTATTTTTGGCTAGCTGACACTATTTTACTATATGCAACTGAGAATTTTCAGTTGCCACTTTTTCCGACTATGTGTAACTGCGATTTTTCAGTTACGACCTTTTTCGGCTAGCTAAACTTTTTCTATTTCACTTTAACTTTTCACTGTGTTCTGCTACTAGTCACTTCAGCTACTACCGGATACTACTGCTTGTTACTGGTAGTTCTTCCTACTACAATGTTACTGTGATATGCCCCCATAAGGTAGACTTCGGCTATACTCTATAGAGAGCCGCTTGCCAATTTCCGGTTTTACCTTTTTATTATCAAACATTTTCATTACGTAATTTGCACAAATCGCAATTTTTCTATATAATGCTAATTTTTACATTAACACATTATACACTATAAAATAGGCATTTTGGTCCTTTATCATTATGTGATAAGGGTTACTTGATATATTTACATTCAAAAAAGTTATTAATCGAAATGTACCAAATTTACATTACAAAAGTGCACATTAAATCTTTAATTTTACTATATTTCTCAAATGCGTTTATTTACATAAATTATCTATTTACTTATTTCAATCTATATACCATATGCTAACTAAATATCGTATTTACAATTCTTTCAGAACATAAAAATATTCTCATTATTTTCATATAAACTATTGCGCAGTTAATTAACTTCTAGAAAGTTCCACGATATGCTGCGCTGTGATTGGTCGAAATTTTATTTAATGTTTAAAGTCGTTTATATCAACTTATTATTAAAACGATACTTTATACAAATATATTACGAATTGTAAACATACTGTAAAACTATATTAAACACAATTTGCTCGATTTATTTGCTAATTTCACTTTTTAAAACACTTTAATATTCTTTAATCACTTTTTGCTTAAAGTCTTTACACCGTCGCGAACATCTCTCCCGCCGTGCAGCGTCGCGAAGATCTCATCGTAGTGGCGCTGCATCCATTTCGGTGAGCGACGTTGCTTTTACTTCGGTAGCGGCACGAGTTTCTTGGTTGGCCTTTTGATTAGGCCGTTCGCGGTTCGTACCTCCACAGTGCGGATCTGTCCGTCCGCACCGGGGAATACTGCTTCAATTCTTCCTCGTGGCCAGGTGTTTCGAGGTAACTGGCCGTCGGCTATGAGGACTGGATCGCCCACCTGGAGATCGGGGCCCCGACCATGGGCCTCCCGCCGGTTTTGCAGTTCCGGTAGATATTCTTTGACCCAACGCTGCCAGAACATATCAGCGAGTATCTGAGAGCGTCGCCAGTACTTTTTGCTATTTATGTCCTTTTCATTGAATACCCCAGGTGTCGGCAGTCTTGCTGATCCTCCCAATAGGAAGTGATTTGGAGTGATGGACTCGTAATCGTTGCTGTCCACGGAGATGTGAGTTAGTGGTCTACTATTTACTGTATACTCCACCTCGCAGAGCAGCGTGGCTAAGACTTCTTCTTGCGGATGTCTTTCGTGAAGGACGGTGTATAGTGCCGTCTTCACGCATCGTACGAGACGTTCCCATACCCCTCCCATGAAAGGCGCGGAGGGGGTGATAAAACGCCACACTATGCCTCGTCGGCTGGCTTCTTCTTTAAAAGCCTCCCGCAATTCTTTATCCGCGCCGTGCATGTTGGTGCCGTTATCTGAATGAATTTCGGTGGGGCACCTTCGGCGCGCTGCAAATCTTCTCAAAGCTAATATTGCGGAGTCTGCGCTGAGATTTGCAACAATTTCCAAATGAACAGCTCTAGATGTGAGGCAGGTGAACAGAGCCACGTATCTTTTCTGATGTTGCCGTCCCACTGTGACGGAGATTGGCCCGAAATAGTCCAGACCGGTGAAAGTGAACGGTCTCTGGTGATGAGCGAGACGTGTGCTGGGATGATCACCGGTGGCTGGCACGGAAGGTTGTGCCTTTCTGATGCGACATGGTACGCATCGACTCACTATCTTTTTTGTCGTGGGTCTAAGTCTTATAACCCAGTAATGTTGTCGAACCTCGTTAATTGTAGGTTCGGTTCCGCAATGATGTAGGCTGCGATGCGTCCAGTCTATGTACAATTGGGTGATGTGATGATCACCATCCAATATAGCCGGACCTTTCATATCTTTTGAGACTCCCTTTGCGGCGGCTATGCGACTTCGCAGCGCGATGATTCCGTCTTTTAATTCTATCTGTAGTGGTCTTAGGCGGCTATTATGGGCGACCTTTTTATCGTTACGGAGATCGTCTATTTCTTGTCTGAAGGAGTCCCCTTGTATGACACGTATTAAGAGCTTTTCGGCCTCTCTGATGAATTCGGCCTCGAGTGTGATGTCGTTTTTGACATCTGCGGTTTTTCTTAGACTGGAGGACTGTGTGCGATGTTGCGGATTGTTTTTTGCTTTCCTCCAGTCGGGATCTTTTTCTTCATTCCTTCTAGTTCTTTTGTAGAAGGTTCTGTCTGTTGTTTTACGGCAGAGTGTAATAAATTGTAGTACTCTGGCCGTTGCTCGCAACAAGCGTTCCCATTTCGAAAATCTTGCTGGATTTGGGATGGCTTCTCTTATTACCGGAGCTCTATGTGATTTTGTAATGGTGAGGCATTCTTCCTCACCGGTCGGTTCGGATGACGTGGGTCTTTCGGTCGGCCATGCTGACGGTTCTTTGTACAGAAACGATGGGCCGCCGTACCACTCATGGTTCGAGTCAAAGTTAGGTGGTACGTCCCTTGTAGCGGTGTCAGCTATGTTTAATTTACGGTGCCAGTGCCATCCACTTTACTATGGTCCTCTATGGTTTCCTCGCTCTTGTGCAGCTCATTGGCCGCGTGGACGCGCTGATACGGGGCTTTAGTGTGTGCCCCGTGTAGCACCCATCCTAATTCTGTGAGCGAGGCGATTGGTTGGTGCGGCGGACCTCTGCGAATTTGAGTGGCTATCAAGAGTCTCCAATTATCTTGTCCTATTAAGATCCTCGGGTTGCCGGAGTCGTATATTAATTGCTCCTTAAGGTCTTTTAAATGTCTACACTTTTCT